AGCAACAAAACAGAAGGACCCTGGGTCCCAGATGATTGTGGAGCCTCCAAACCAGCCATCAACTACCAACCCAGACTTTTAAGGGGGAAAAAGGAAAGTGCATCAGATAAAAGCCACTTTTGGGGAATGTCTTTCTGTCACAGCAGCCAAACTGATAACCTAAATAATGCAATTACTAAATGCTGAAAGATAATTATCTGGTAAAAAGTCATCATTCCAACTGGGGGGATTATAAAAAGATTATTTTATTTGATCTTCCCAGTAATTCTATGAGGAGGGAAGTTTGTATATAGGTATTTAACTGCCATTAATGTTGCAGATTGTTAAAAATGCTTATAGTACAACTATTTTATTCCCCTTGGGATTTTTCTACACTGTTGGAGAGAGAAGGCCAAGCGATTCAGCTCTGTTGAAGCAACCAGGAAGAAATGCTGTCCAAACCAACTGGGGTTTTGGCAATGAATCCGCATTTGTTCACCAGTGTAGCTATTGTTTAGATTCCACTGTTCTGAAAAATTAAGTGGTTCACTATTTTAAATTTTTTCCTAATCCAAGTGTAACGAATGACCTTTCTTCTCCTTAGGTCACTAAAAAGAATTTTCTTGTGTTTGTGGCTAATTTCTTAATGGCAGAGGCCCAAATAAGGGGACGGGGGGACGCTTAGGTCAAAACTAAACATGGGATGAGAGAAGGATCCTGGATTTCCTGTGGCTCATTCCATTTTCAATCATCCATACTGCTATACATGTGTCTGAGTGGTTTTTGTGTACAGAATAAGCTGTACACAAGTTCTAGGAAATAATTTTCAATTACTAAAGTTACCATTTACCAAACCTAGCTTCTCCCCCTTGGGTTTTTAAGTTTCCTTTTTGAAATCTATTGTTCCATTTCTAAGAGCACAGTAACAAATTCAGCCGTTGTTTGTAAGGAAGTCATGGATTAATGTTTGATCCCACTTATAAACTTAGCTAAGTAAATGCCTTAAGCCACTTGAAACTGCATTTCTAAATTTGATAATCTGGATTTTCTTTGCAAGTACTTTAATTATTCAATGTTTCTACTTCTCAATCAATCTTATAAATCAATCAGGTCACATATAGTAAATCTTAAATTCTCTTAAGTGTCCTAAATGATTGCATATAAACTTAGTAAGACTTTGGTGGGGGCAGTGGTAGTGGGATGAACTGGGAGATTGGGATTGACATGTATACACTAATATGTATAAAATAGATAACTAATAAGAACCTGCTGTATAAAAAATAAAATTAAAAAAGACTTAGACATTGAGGTAAAAATTGCACATTTAAGCAATGCTTCAGTTACATTCAAAATGATAATTAACAAGTCTGACCAATATGCTACTCTGAAAGGTCTAAGTCTTTTAAAGTATGTAAGTTACTAAATATGAACACTTTCCTTCTTAACAAAACATATTAATGTGATGATTTTGACCTTGTTGAGTATTTCCACATTTATTTCTGAATCTTATCTCATTTAAAATATGCTTCCTGATAAAATTGCTTTCCCATTTAGGCTATTTCTATAGTTAACTCTAAATGTTCCTGGGGTTTAAAGATTCGTATCTTCTAGGGAGATTATTACCCTCAGGTAGCTGAGGCTGTTTCCAACTAGACTTCTTAACTTGGGGTGTGTGGATAGAATTCAGGGGGTCTGTAAAGTTGGATGTAAAAAATGTACCTTTATTTTCACCAACTTCTAAGTGAAATTTAGCATTCCCTTCAGATGTGAATGTGGCAGTAAACCATAGTATATGAGCAGGACCTTGACTCTGTTGCCAGTAGAAATCACAGGTATTTCCATATCACATTATGGCTGTTGCAAACACCTTGAAATATCTTTATATTCAGCATTACTTCAACATTACGGAACTTATAGGCCTGCTGCTAGATCTCACTATTTAATGTACTAATAAAGGATCTCACATGACTCCATCATAATATTTCAATATTTTTATTGAGGTATAATTGAAGTATAATAAACTGGAAATATTTTAAGGGTTAAATGTTATCATTTTTGAAACACATACATACATATATATATATATATATATATATATATATATATATATATACACACCATGAAACCATCAACACAATTCACACACTGGACTTTTCCATCACATCCCCAGCAGTTTCTCTGAGTCCCTCTGTAATCCATCCTTCCCTCCACACCCACCCACAGGTGACAATTGCTTTGCTTTCTGTCACTGTAAATTAGTTTGCATTTTTGAGAAATTTATATAATTAGAATCATGTGTTGGGTCTTTTTGGGGAGAGTGAGGCTTCTGGCATTTTCACTCAACATAAAGATTTTGATATTCATCTACGTTGTATGTGTATCATACGTTCTTTTATTGCTGAGTAGTAATCCATTGCATGGATATACCACAATCTGTTTATTCATTTACCTGCTAATGGATAGTTTCACTGTTTCCAATTCTTTGCAGTTACAAATAGACTTACTATTAACATTCATATACAGTTCTTTGCGTGGATTTGTGTTTTCCTTTCTCTTGGGTGTCAGATGGCTGGGTCATATGGTGGGGGGATGTTTAACTTTTTGAGAAACTGCCAAATTGTTTTCCAAAGCGGTTGCACCATTTTACATCCCAACCAGCAGTGTATGAGAGTTTAGCTGCCCCATATCCTTGTCAGCACTTGGTACAGTCAGTCTTTTTAATTTTAGCCAATCTAATGGATACGTAGTGGTATTTCTTTATTTATATATTTATATATATATATATATGTTTTTTTTTTTTTTGCGGTACGCGGGTCTCTCACTGTTGTGGCGTCTCCTGTTGTGGAGCACAGGCTCCGGACGTGCAGCCTCAGTGGCCATGGCTCACGGGCCCAGCCACTCCGCGGCATGTGGGATCTTCCCGGACCGGGGCACAAACCCGTGTCCCCTGCATCGGCAGGCAGACTCTCAACCACTGCGCCACCAGGGAAGCCCATCATTATATTTTAATGTACATTTCCGTGATGATTGATGATGTTGAGCATCTATTTTTGTGCCTATTGGCAATTTGTATATCTTCTCCTATGAAGTGTTGGTTCTAAAGTTTTCCCAGTTTTTAATTGAGTTATTTGTTTTGCAAAAGTTATTGAGTTGTTAAGGTTCTTCGTGTATCGTTATATATCCCTTATATTTTTTATATCTGTATGATAGAAGTATTATATTCTAGTCTATAGCTTGCTCTTTATTTTCTCAGTTTTGTCTTTTGAAGAACAAAAGTTTTATATTTTGACAAAGCTCAGTTTACCAATGTTCATGGTTTGTACTTTCAGTGTTCTGAGAAATGTTTGACTACTGCAAAGTTGCAATGATTTTCTCCCTATGTTGTCTTCTGGAAGGTTTATGGTTCTAGGCTTTCCATTTAGGGCTGTGATCCATTCGGAGTTAATTTTTGTGAATAATGTGAGGTAAATTTTTTTCTTATCAGTAAGAAATAAGACATTAAATTGTTTCTTATCAGTATTCAGTTTCCCAGCACCCTATGTGCATTATAAGCGTTTTTGTTTATATAGAAGCATTTTCCTGAGAAGATGTCCTTAGACTTAAGCAGATTGCCAAAGAGGTCCCTGGCATATGTTCTAGAGATTCCAGCAGAGTAAGAGATAAGAATCTGCAGACATCAAGGGAAAGCGCTCTCGATGTGCATGTTAGGAATCCATCATGTCAGCCCACCTGGTTTGGGGAGACCCTTTTTTAGGACGATGACGTTGCATAACAACCAGAGACGTAGGCAAGAGGGCTGACTGGAGTCTTGTGAGAAATGTGGATGGGCTGCCCCGAACCACACCACGAATTGTTATACTGATGATTTTATCATTTTAAGAAGGATCGCTCACAGCCCCTGGTCTACTCATGGATGTCTGTTACCGCCTCCCGTGTGATTACTTGCTTGAATTTCACACGTCTTTTGTCCTCAGGACGTATCTAAATCATCCTGTTTAGGCAGGGTGGCCATCTGTCCCAGTTTGCCTGGAACAATCCTGGTTTATGCTCTATTTGATTTGATTTTTTGTTTTTTTTATTGAAATATAACTGATTTACAATTTGTGTTAGTTTCTGGTGTACAGCAAAGTGACTCAGTTATACATATATATACTTTTTCATATTCTTTTCCATTATGGTTTATTACAGGATATTGAACATAGTTCCTGTACTACACAGTAGGACCTTGTTGTTTATCCATTCTCTATATACTAGTTCACATCTGCTAACCCCAAACATGCTTTATTATTAATAGTGCCCATTTCACTCTCAAAAGTTCCCCTCTCTCCTGTATCAATATCAGGAAGCGTTCTGATTTGTTCAAGTAGTTCTGTTGGTTTCTATCTTATAGGCTTTGAGAATCACAAACACAGTGAAGCACTTTGAAATCCATGACTTTCAAGCTTGACTCTGCAGAGCTCTGGGTGCTCCTTCAAGACCCTTTACAAGTACCTGCAGGAGAAAGGTGCAAGCCACGAGGCTGAGATTTTTTTCTTTTTTTCGATCTCTGGTGTTTATTCACTACCAGGCAGGTGACAACACAGCTTTACTTCACTTTTCCCCTCTGATGCTAAAGCATAAGCTGTCTTTTAATTCTGACACATTTATCCATTCCAGAGACAGTATGAAAAACAGTCATCTAGCCATTTATTACCTTGGACTTTTCAGGCCAAACTGGGGTTGCTGTCTCATTTATAAGCCAGGGCAACAAGGGTGATTCCAGGTGGATGGGTTAAAAATGGAAAATATGAGCTCTTCAACAGAGCCTGGGATTTTTCGCCTCTGTTTTCCATATGGTGATTCTATATATGCTTGCCTTTTTATTTATTTATTTTTTGGCCATGCAGCAAGGCTTGTGGGATCCTAGTTCCCCAACCAGGCATTGAACCCGGGCCCTCCGCAGCAAAAGTGCAGAGTCCTAACCGCTGGATTGCTAGGGAATTCCCTATGCTTCCTTTTTAGTCTTTTTAATGGATCTGTATAGAAACGTGAAATGCTTCATAAATTTGCATGTCATCCTTGCTCAGGGGCCACGCTAATCTCCATATCATTCCAATTTGAGTATATGTGCTGCCAAAGCAAGTACAATATGCTTACTTTTGAATACAAGAAAGTTTGAAAGCCACTGATGTAATTGATCACATTTTCCTCTTTACATTGGCTGCCAGGAAGCTCAGCATCTAATTCTCAGTCCACCACTAACAGTGCTCAGGGCCTCCTAGCCTACATATTTATGAGAATCTCACCCTTGACTTTCTTTTCTTTCCCTCCGCATGTTTCCCCTTCACCTGCTTTTCTTGTTTTCTCATTCTGCTGCCACATGTATGTTTTTGCATGCAAACTCAAATCCTTTTTGGAAAGAGCCAAGGTTTAAATGAGTGCATTAAAACAAAAAGGAATACTTTTTCTGTAGAGGAGGTTTTTGCAGATGGGAAAGGAATGTGTATAGAAATAAGGCATAATTTGGCATGGAGAGTACACATGTGTGTTTGTAGGATATGTATATACATGTTGGAAACGTTGTGAAGTTTGTCGTTTTCAAAGTTAAGCTGGTCTTCTGGCTTCGGGGGACATTTATACTTGGAAGACTCCAGGGGGAAAAAAACAGTGTTTTACTCCAGGGTAGACGTGCCTGTGGTCTACACTCCAAAGAATCTGCTTTATGGTTTAGCATTTTCAGATTTTGTCTGGGGTTATTTTTCTGGTCATTATAAAATGAGGACAAATACTTATTAAGAAGAAATCAAGGGAATGAGGGACAGGAAGGGGGTGCTCCTGCACAGGAGGGGGGCTGGATTTTAAGTGATCTTGAGTAAGAAGTGGGAGCCTTAAGTCTTATCTGAGTTTCTATCTCATCTGCTGCAAATCTGTGGTCAAGTCTTTTTCTCCCAAACATGGGGACTCTCACCCTCCGCTGCACACTTGGAATCACCGGGAGCTTTAAAAAAATCCTGATGCTGCAGTCCCTTCCCCAGAGAGTCTGGTTTAATTGGTCTGGGGTAGGGCTTCCGCATGGGGATTTTTAAAAGCTCCCCTGGAGATTCTAATGTGAAAGCCAGGGTTGAGACCACTGCCCTAAGAGAAAGAAAAAAGTAAAATTAATAAGCACCTGCCTCCTGTTTATCTCTCAGGGGGCCGTGGGGTGTGGCTGCGATTTATGAGATAATGGGCCATATTCTGGTGAAGGAGTGAGAGGGCTTGAAGGAAACAGATTAACCCTTCGTATTCCATAGAGTACTCTTGGTTAATAAGTGTTCGTCAAGGTTTTGCACATGATCTGCAAGAAGAAACACATTTCACATCCTGACCCAGTACACACACACACACATGCGCACACACACACACACACACACACACAGAGTCTTACTCTGATTTCATACAATTCACTTGGTGTTTTCTATTCCAGTCTATTCCATTATTTTCCTTTAGAAAAAAAAAGCCTGCTCACTGCCCCTGTTTAAACAATATTCTATGAAGGCTCATGGGCCCAGATAAATTAAACACCTCTGGAGAGCATTAAGATGGTCAGTTTATAATGACTGAGAGCTTTTTGCAAAGCTGCTATGAGAAGTGAAGTTTGTACCGTTGAGCAATTGCTTATGCCAGCTACAGTCACAGTAGTAAGTGTTTCAGGAGCATGATCTCAGCAAACTGTCCCAATAATAATACAAGATGGGTACTGTTATCTCCAGTTTAGAGCTGAGAAAGTCAACGCTAAGTACGTACATATGTCCTGCAGCTAGGAAGCAGAAGAGTTATCTTCATCCAGGAACTGCAGATCTAACCTCACCCTCCTTGTGGGAGGAGAATAACTGTGCTCACTGAATACATTTGCTTGCCTGAGTTTGGGGAGCAAAAGGGGATAGAATAAGCTTTGACCAGAGGTGGCTCCCAGTAGAGCGGGGCCTGCTGTTTATACAACTTGGGGGCCTTATTTAAGAAAAAGAATATGAAATTATGAGTACGAAATTAGGTACAAAATGAATAGTTCTTTGAATTAAGAAATCACAACAAATGCATATTTTAAGAAGCTGAAAAATACCACAAATTCCCAACTCAACTTCCCCTCGGCTGGATCCCCCAAATGCCAATGACCACTTCCATACCACCCTACTCAAGGTCAAGTGCTCCAGTGGGGAATCGGAGTGGAGAGTGATGGTTGCCTCTGCTGGTTGCCGCTAACTATGAAAAGCAAATGACTTTTGTAAATTTTACATGAACAAGTGACCCCGTGAATGGATTTCTAGGTCCCTGTCAGGGCCTTAGAAAGAGACGCGTCAAGTGAGGGGCCCAGGAGCTTAAGTTTCACTGGCTTCCCAGTAACCCCACAAGTGGAGTTGAAGGCTCTATATTATATCTCTAGAGCAAGGGCTTTGGAGTCAGCTGGACCTGAACTTCAGCTCTGGCTCAGACACTTTCTGCCTTCTTTGAGCTAAGGCTCGATCATTTGTAAAAATGGGCATGCTAGCAGCATCTACCTTCCAGTCTCTTTGGGGGACCGGAGGAGATAAGAAGGGTCCCGCAAACTGCATGGGCTTAGAACAGCCAGATTTAGCAAAGAAAAATATAGGACATCCAGTGAAACTGAAATTTCAGAGAAAAGTGAATACTTTTTTAGTATAAGTATGTATCACCTAGGACATACTTATTCTAAAAGTTATTCCTTGTTTTTCTGTAATTCACATTTATATGGGCACCCTGTATTCCTTGAGCTTAACAAATGGCAGTGGTTGACACTGTTTTTGGACCAAGTGTTCCATAACAGGGCTTCATAAATATTAGAAAGTGCGTGAGAGGGAGAAAAATGCTGCATAGACTCTGTTCATAACAGTTTATTTATTATGGGGAAGATTGAAACAGGTGGCCAGGAGAGGATGAAGCAAGTGGGGTGCCTTAATTTGAGGGTATGTGTGGAGGGGCTTATACCACTGACTTTGGGTAAGCCAATTAAGTTCTTGGGGCTTCAGTTTCCCCTACCTGTAAAATGGGTAAAAGGAGATTCTTGAACTCTCCTCCTGCAGATATAACCAGAAATGGCACTTTCTCATCATACAGATGTCGCCTCCTCAAAGAGGTCTTCCCTGACTACTCCAGCCAAGATTACGGTTCCCTTGCTCCAGAGCATAATTTTTCCCCCTCCATAATAATGATAACTTTCTGAAGTTGTCTTGATTCTTTACTTGATTGTTTGTTTACGGTCTGTCTCCCCATGTGAGAATAAGTTCCGGGAAGGCACAAAACTAGTCTGTCTTGTTCTAGCTGAATCTCCGAGGAGCTGTACCTGGCGCATAGATATTCCATATATGTTGAATGAATGAATGAATGAATAGGTGGCTGAATGAATGAATTCAGTGTCACCCTTGAGGTCCCTTCCAAGCAGTCTTTCTCTTCTCGGGGGCCATGCCTGGGTTGCAGAGGGAGGAGGTGTGGGTGTCGGTGGGTGGGGAGGAGGCTGGGCCCTCGCCTCCTCTAGGACCGGCTGGAGCTAGCGCGTCCGGCTGGGCGGCAGGCGCAGAGAACAGCGCGGAGGCAGCTGCAGGGCCGAAGCGCCGCGCCGCGCGTCCAGCCGCCGGGGGTGTGCGCCCGCGGAGCCAGGCGTCGCGCCTCGGCGCCCCCACGCGCCCACGCCGCGGCGCGGGGACCCGGGCGGGGGCAGAGGGAGGGCCCGGCCGAGGGAGGGGAAGGGGCCGGTCCTCCCAGCGCAGGCAGCGGCCGCGGCAGCCCAGGAGGCGGAGGCAACGGCGGCAGCAGAGGTAGCAACGTGCCCGCCGCAGTCAGCCCGGCCGCGTCCGACCCGCGCCCGCCCGGCCGCCGGCACCGCACCGCACCGGGGCGCCCTCTCCACTGCGCGCGGTGAGTACCAACCGCTGCGCCCAGCCCGGGCCGCCCGCCGCGATTCGCCGGGCCGGGGTTGACCCGGACCCCCTGGCCTGGGGCGTCTCTCCCTTACTCGGCCAGCCGGGGCCTCCGCAGCTGTCGGGGCGCCCGGGGCTCCCAGGGCGCCTCAGGCACAAGGGCAGCGGGGACAGTGGGCAGATCCTGTCTCGGGAAAGTCTGTCCTGGGCTCCAAGCCTCAGTTTCTCCGTGCGCCCGGGAGGCGACGACCCTGAAGTTTGCACTGCCGCACGCGGGACAAGTGCATAGAGCGCAGGCGGTGTAGACTAGCCTGGGTCCTCCGCGTTTGGTTCGTTTTATGGCCCGGGTGGCTCGCGATGAGGGGCACTCCTCTAACCGGACCAAGAGGCGCCGGGAGCCAAACTCACGCCCTCGGGCGCTGGTTATGGGGCAACGGTGGAGCAAATGGCTGGAATTCCCGGGATGGGGCTGGAATGGCCCACCGAGCCTTTTTTCTAGCTGCATTTCTTTTTTTAAAGTCCGTTTGCGCTTGGCCCGCGCTGGTCCAGCTCTCCCGGCTTTGTACCGGAACCCGCGTCCTGGCGCTGGCTGAAGTTGGAGTTGAAACTTGGAATATCAAAAGGATGTTTAGAAGGAAGCGAGGGTTTTGTTGTAATGGGACAAAGCGGAGAATGGAATGGTTTTTTAGCCTTGCAGCCTGGAGGTTAAACGGCCGTACTGGCCCTTAAATATATTCCCTGCCCCCAAGCAAATAGGTTATAAACTCAAGGAATATTAGGACAGCTTGACAGGGAAAAACATTCGCATCACAAAATCCTCAGGGCGCAAAATCCTCAGCTGCTGAAAGTGAAGCGCTTTGACGGTGCGAGTTTCCTACTTCCCCTAAACGGAGCCTCGCCTGGGCTAAGAGTTGACAGCGAGCGTACGTGTTGCTGCGTTGCGAATGCTCTTTAAGAAGCAAGACTGATGCCGCGGTTTTGATGGATACCGTTTTCTTTTCTCCCCCCTTTCCCCGAAATGCAACGTAATCTTCAGAATTACTTTTATGTATGTATATATAACGTTGAGGTAGATATAAATCACCCCTGGTGGAGGTACTTTTTAATTACGAGGTGCAGTGAAATGAGTGAACATCGGAGTTGGGTGTTGTGGGCAAGGCAGAGCGGAGGTATAATGATTTACAAACATCAGGTGAGAATCTGAGTGCTGAATTGGGTTTGAGTTAGGGAG